GTGCCTGGCCACACGGGAGCTCTGTCCCTGATGGGCAGGTGGACAGTGGACATGTCCCCTTTGTGGTCCCAGTGCCTGGCCACATGGGGGCTCTGCCCCTTACGGAAAGAGGGTGACTGAACAAAAGATGAAGGGAGACCGGATCCCCCCTTCCAGGGGCCCTGCCCCTCACAGCTCCTGGCATGTGCCATGGCCCAGTGTGCATGTGGCCTGTAGTTGCCCACCACGGCCCCCAAGGTCAGCCCTGGTTCACGGGACAGGGTGACCAGGCCTTCGGTGGCTCCAGGTACTCATGGAGCAGGAGATATGTACTGTCTGCGTCACCGGAGCTGGTGAGAGGCCGCTGAGTCAAGCACCCCCACCGAGGAGTGGCTGCACACACTCCACACACACACACATGTGTGCCAGGGCGGCCTTGCCCAGGGACCCCCGCACACAGCCAGGTGGGGTCCCGGCCAGGCCAAGAGCTGACCTGCCCCCTATTCTTCCAGGGCCCATCCTCCCACCAGGGCACCCCTCATCGGCAACCAGCGCACCCCTCTCCTGTAGCGGGCCTCCACCCCCGCCTCCACCACCTGTCCCTCCCCCACCCACGGGGACCACCCCTCCGCCCCCGCCCCCACTGCCAGCAGGAGGTGCACAGGGGACCAGTCATGACGAGAGCTCCGTGTCTGGACTGGCCGCTGCCCTGGCTGGGGCCAAGCTGCGGAGAGTCCCAAGGGTAAGCAGGCCGGGAGGGTGGGCATGGGGTCGGACCCTCCCCCCATCCAGGACCAGCTCTGTGAGGCAGCCTGGCCTCTCTGGTGCTCAGGAGGGCACATGCTGCCTTAAGTGGAGGTGGCTGTGGACCCTCAGGTCCCCCAGCGGGTGGGGGGTGCTGTGCGGGAAGGGCAAGTGCAGAGCCATCTCAGGTCTCCTGCTGCAAGCCCCTCCTCTGCACTCTGCCCCACTGTGTCCTGAGACCATCCCCGGGCCAGGGCCCTTCCGAGCCTCGCCTCAGCCTGCTGTCCCCTCCCCAACACCCCAACCCTTCCTGCCACAGCCAGTCCTTTGGCCAGCTGCTGGCCTTGTCTTCTGGACATTGGTCTTCATGCCTGTGAACCCGGAAATTTGACTCAACAACCCCACCCAGTTCTCTTCCCTGGCTGCTATTTTAGATTCAGATGCATATACCCACTCATGGATACACATGCACACGTGTGTGTGCATGCATGTGCATGTGCTATATACATGTACCTGCCATAACGTACACCCGCGTACATGCTCACGTGGGTTCGCGTATTTCAGATGCACATGCGCGTGTGCTGTGTACATGTACCTGTCACATACATACACCCGCGTACATACTCCTGCGTGTACACACACACAGATTCACACAGAGATGGACACCCGTTCACGTGTCAGGTACATGTACTCACTCATGGACACACTCAGATTCACACGGCCTTCCTCTCCACCACACACTCCCTGCGCCCCCTGTCCACCACAGAGTCCTGAGACTAAAACAGCACCTCCTTTCCCTTCAGCCAGAAGATGCATCTGGAGGCCCCAGCCCCAGCGGGACCAAGACAGACCCCAACCGGGCGAGCAGTGGGGGTGGCGGAGGAGGCCTCATGGAGGAGATGAACAAGCTGCTTGCCAAGAGGTGAGCGTCCCCTGCCCTCGTCCTGGGGCTCCTTCCTGGTCCCCCGACTTCAGCCACAGAGACACTGATCGTTACACGCGCCCCTGCTTGAGGGGTCAGGGTCAGGCATCAAAGACAGCAAACCCCCACCTCCGTTGAATAAGCAGTGTCTTGTGCATGAGCCAGGGTCGCTGCATGACCGGCTCCTGATTGAGGGGCCTGGGTCCCAGGGCTGGGGCTGCCCACAGGCTCTGCAGTCAGTCTGTGAAGCGACCAGCCCTGTGGGTCGTCCCGGGGACACAGGGAAAGCTTTCTGACACGGGAGGCACCGAGGATGAGGCCCCCTGAGGAGACAGCCCCATCCACGTCCCAGGTGACCTCTGGGGCTCTGGCCCTGTCTCCACCCACATGGGGGCGTGCCGCCGGCGGTGGCTCCTGCTGGGCCCTCCCTCACTGGCGCTGTAGCTTTCTGTTGTCCCCAGGAAACCTGAGCAGATGGATCAGGCACACTACCTTTCCTGCAAAGCCTCGGCTTTGTCTTTTGCTGTGGCCTGGCAACAGGAAGCAGCGGTGTCTGATCACCTGACCCTGGTAGCCAGGAACCTCACCCTTCCGAGCACACCCCACCAGCCCCATTGACCCTCCCCAGCCTACTCTCACCCTGCTCCCTCCCCGAGACCCTCTGCTGCCCGGGCTTCATCCCCTTCCATCCAGGGTGGGAGGCTCATCCTTCTGAGCCCCCCAAGGGGGTGCATAGAAAACTGAGGAGCAAGGACGTTTGTCACCGCACCACCCTCTATTGCACCCCACACTGGACCAGGACAGCAGGCCAATGCCTGAGCCTCTACTGCCCGCAGCCCCCAGGGCCACACAGAGGTGGGCAGTTCCACGTGCTTGGCCAGGAGATGGAGGCTCTGGGCTGAGGAGGAGGAGGGTGTCACTGCAGAAAGAAAGTGCGAGGTGGGTGGGGTGGGCGGTAGGTGAGGTGTCACTTGTGTTGACAGCAGGGGATGGTGGGAGAAGGAATGTGTGAGGTCGTAAGAGCCCTGGCGCACAGAGGCCTTCAGCCCGTCCCAGAGCACCTCAGTAACTCCGGGGAGCCTGTGGCACAGCAATCTCCTAGAGCTCACCAACCCCCAGCCAGTGAGTTCCCAGTAACAGCCCTGCCCGGGACAGCTCAGCAGGCGAGGGCAAGAGCGGTTGTTGCTCTCGGAGAACAGAAGGGGAGATGCCCCAGGGCAGTCGGACAAACCACCAACCGCAAGCCACACTTGGATGAGGTTTTACGGAGGATTAGCTCTGAAAGGGGGGGCCAGCAGGGTGTCCCCGAGAGGCACTCTGCCAGCGTTCAGCAGCGAGTCCAGGAGGGATGGTAATGGCATTGAGAAGGCAGCGTCCCAGACCTTGCCGCCAGTGCGCCCCTCGTTAGTGTCCACGGAGCAGCATGGCCTGGTCAGGGTTGGGTGTTTCCAACATGAGCTGGCTGCACGGAGCTGCAAGAAGAGGCCTTGGAGCAGCCTGTTGGGAGACTGGCTGTCTAGGCAGAGGTAACGACATCTAGTCCACTGACCTTGGATATCCACCGCCCCACCCCACCCCACCCCACACAAAAAAAACAATAAAAACAGAAAATTCTGCCTGCCAGGGAGTCAGTGTTGGTTCATGGATACCCTATAGGACAGGGTAGAACTGCCCCTGTGGGCTTCTAAGACGGTTTCTCTTCATGGGAGTAGAAAGACCCTGTTCTCTCCTGCAGAGGGCTGGTGCTGGTGACTTTGAACTGCTGACCATGTGGATCACAGCCCAAAGCATAACCCCGCCCCCAGGTCTCTGGAAGCACAGAGGAGAAAAAAGTCAGGTGTGAGATGAGAGGCGGCCGTGGCCGTGGCTCGGAGCTGTGAGGAGGGAGGAAGCTTAGCGAGGCCTCCAGTGTTAGGAAGGACTCCTGGGTGTTGAAAATGACCCCATCCTTCCGGAGGAGAAGTAGGTCATCCCGCTCTGGAGGTGGGAAGGCTGAGGGAGGAGGCCCCTGGTGGGGACCCCATGGCTTCTGCCCTCACCACACAGCAGGCTGCTACACCCCCACTGGGCAGCACACCCCAGAAGTTTACAACAGCATGCACTGCGGGAGTCTCACAGAGCTTAAAGCCTCCCCCCAAAAAACAGGCTTGTATCAGGGTGTGTGTGTGGAGGGGGGGGGGGTGACCCTGCGGTGTTCCCTCCCTGCTGGTGACCACCCGGAGAGAGTCACATCTGTGGCCGCTGTGTCGGCCTCCTCGCTGAGGGTCTTCCTGCTGTCACTGGCCCTCCCCTTGACCAAGCAGAGACCAGTCTCTCCGGAGACAGCCTGTGTCCGTTCGTGAGGCCCGGCCCCGCCACCCTTGCTCCCAGAGGGGCAGCCAACTTCCCCTTGGTGTGTTTGCAGGGCAGGGCGAGGAGGGTGTCCCCCTGGTTGACTGCCTGATATCCAGGTGTCCGTCGGGGCAGTTGCGAGCTGCCCTTTCAGGGGAGTTTCCCGGTTCTTGTGGCGTCGGGGTCAGGCATTGGGCTGCTCACCACAAGGTCGGCAGTTTGAATCCACCAGCCATTCCTGGGGAGAACAGGAAGGCTTTCTACTCCAGAAGAGTATCCTGGGGAGAACGGGGGTGCTTTCTACTCCAGAAGCAAGTCCCCATCTCAGAAACCGACAGGGGCAGTTCCCCCTGCCCTGCGGGGTCGCTGTGAGGCGGCATCGACTCCAGGGCGGGGGTTGTTTGGTTTGGGGGTGTTGCAGAGTCGGGGGGTCACAGAAGAAGCGTTCCTCCCCAGCCCACAAGGCCAGTGGGGGCTGCTCCCCACCCCCTCCACCAACCAGGCTGTGGACGGACAACTCCCCTCACAGATGTCACCCAGAGAGCCCCCACCCCTGCCCTCACTGCCAAGCCATGGGCATCCTCGAAGCCAAGGGACCCTTTGGCCAGGCCTGGGGTGCATGCTCTGTGTGGGTGCAGAGACCTGTCAGGTGGGACCCTGGACAAGGTGCCTTCTTGCTGTGAGAAACGGGACCCTGGCGCCCACCCACGTCACAGGGTCCCCTGGGGGCCCGCGGGCTGGCATAGGAGTGGCTTCCTGCCTCGTTCTGAAGCCTCACCATGCGCTGAAGGCCACTCTCCTCCACCACTCCCCATGTGCAGGAGGAAAGCGGCCTCCCAGACAGACAAGCCGGCTGACAGAAAGGAAGACGAGAGCCAAACAGTAAGGCACCCCCCACCCCCACCCCCGTGACTCCCCTCTGAGGTGCTCCGCTTGGCCTGGGCCAGGGGTGGGGGGATACTCATCCCAAAGGCACCCTCCCTGGATGGGGTGAGGGCAGCGGCAAAACACCTTCCCAAGTGGGGGCTGACTGGGCAACAGGGACGAGCTGGGAGACCTGCGAACATCGGAAACCCCCACCTTTTCCTTTCCTTTCCAAACGTTTATTTTTCCAAAGATTCCGTCACCCCTGGAGGAGGAGCAGGGCAGCACTTCCTGGCTCCACCCCAGGTGTCCGAGCACCAGGCTTCCCCTGGTGGGACTGAGACCCCTTCAGTCCTGAGCTACAGGGGGCAGGCAGGTGGTCTACGGGGCAGACAGAGAAGGGCAGTACTCATGGGCAGCCTTGCTGACCTGATATCACCCCTCTGTGGGTCCCCACGCTGGGCTGTGTGGTGCCCACGCCCAAACCTTGAAATGGGAGCTCCGCCTGCCTGGAGCCCCCATCAGCCCAGCTAACCCCCCTGGAGACCAGGGCTCCTCTGTCAGGCCCTGCTCCCTAAGGAGGCAGGTGCCCGGGAGCCCAGCTCCTTCTCTGAGCTCCCTCTGTGGCCACACCTGAGTCCAGGAGGGCAGACCCTGGCTCCCGTCGCCCAGTCCTCCTGCTGCCCTGCCATGCTTTTTGGAATGGCAGAGGCTGGCGCAGAAGGTGGCCACACAGTCCCGGCACTGCGGCCTGGTCTCTGCCAGCAGCCCTGGGCCCTGCTGGGCCTCAGCTTTTCAACCCAGCACTGGCTCTGCCTGGAGGAGGACAAGAGCCATGTCCACCCTCAGGGCTTCGGGAAGAGAAGCCGCTGACCCCACAGCAGAGGGGAGGTGGGGGGGTGGCGGGTGCTGTTCTCTTCAGCTACATGACCGGCCAGGAGGCCCCGTCCACACCCACAGCTGGCCTCTGAGGAGGGTGCTGGCTGCGGGTGACCCGAGGGAGCAGCTCAAGGTGCTAGGGGGGTGGGGGGGCAGATTATGCTTCCACGAGCCACTTCCGTCCAAGCAGGTGGGGGACAGGAAGACCTTGAGCATCAGAACAGCCTCCTTGACGGCTGGCCCAGCAGGCATGCCCACCCTCAGCCCCCATGGGAGTCCAAGAGAGGAGAGGCCACTGAGCACCCCACTCACATTGCCAGGACCTGGGCTCAGGAGTCACACCCACACCAGCCCCACATAGCGTTGAGGGGGGAGCAGGGCAGGGGCACAAGGCCCCCCAGTCTGGGGGTGAGGGGGACGACAGGCCCTGGGGGTCCCCAGTGAGTGCTGCTCACTGTGACACTGCCCTGTAGAGGAGGAGTGGGGCCTGAGGACACCAGGTCTCCCTCTCCCTGCCCCCCGTCTGCCCATAGGTGGCATCAGGCCCCACCAGGAGAGATGCTTCTTTGTCAATAACGTTTCCTGCTTCTCTGACACTCACTCACTCGGTCAGTTTGGAACCCCCAGGCTGATCCCAAGTCCCTGCCCACCAGCCTTGCTGAGCTGACCGTGGAAGAGCCATCTGTGTTAGTCCAGGCGGACTCAAGAAACAAATTCATAGATACTCATCTGTGTGTCATAGAGAACTTCATATCAAAGAGCAGTTGAATATTGAGAAAGCATCCCAGCCCAGTCCAAATCAAGTCCCCAAGTCCAGTATTAGCCCACATGTCCGATACCGATCCATAAAGTCTTCCAAAGACTCATCAAACAGGGAGAGCACAGGCCACAGGGTGGACAGTCTCGTGGATTCAGTGGTGGTGGAAGCATCTCAACACTGGTGTGCGTGGGTCTCCACGTGGCTCCTCCAGCTCCAAGGCTCTGGCTGCATCAGCATAGCTCCATGTGGCTTGTCAGCAGGAATGTCTCACAGGGAGTGTGTCTCTGTCCCACCTCCAGCAGGCTATTTAGCTAAGGAGTTAGTGCCGCCAAATGAGATCAAGCTGCGACCTGATGGACAGGCTAAACTCCACCCCTGAGCTCTTAAGTCTCAAACTGACACCCGATGATGTGACTACCACACCATCTCTCTTCCTTTTCCAGGAAGACCCCAGCCCCTCGCCGTCACCAAGTACCCGCACAGCTGGTCCGCCTGCGAATGCCCCAGGTAAAGGCCTGCCTTCACGGGCAGCAGAGAGCCCTGGGAGGATGGCTGGGGTCTCCACACCCACGGCAGGCCCTGGGCAGGAGTGCCAGGAAGTGCTAGAGCAGTGGTTCTCAATCTGTGGATCTCGACCCCTTTGGGGGTCGAATGACCCTTTCACAGGGGTCTCCTCAGACCGTAGGAAAACACATATTTCGCAATATGTAATTGCATATTGTTTTGTGATTGATCGCTATGTTTTAATTATGAATGAAAAGATATCCTGCATATCAGATATTTACCTGACAATTCCTAACAGTAGCAAAATTACAGTTTTGAAGTAGCAACGAAAATAGTGTTATGGTTGGGGGGGCATCACAACATGAGGAACTGTATTAAAGGGTCGCAGCATTAGGAAGGTTGAGAACCACTGTCTATAGAGAGAACTAGGTCCTGTGTCCCCCAGGGGGCTGCCGCTCCACCACAGCTGGTCAGACAGACCGCCTGGCCCAGCCCCAGGTCCGGCCTGGCATCACATATCCAGTAGCAGACCATGGCGAAGGCCAGGGCTCTCAAGAATGTTCCGGGACCAGAAATGCCAACTGCTGGCTGGTTACACAGCTGGCTAGTCAGTCTCCCGCCATCAGAAACCACCCCACACTGCTCAGGTTCCTCCCTGAGGGACAGGATTGGGGGCGGTGATCCACCGAGTCAGTGCGGTGGGCTGATGGGAATGGAAAGCCCAGTCTTTCTCCCACGGAGCTGCTGGTGGTTTCCAACTGCAGACCATGGAGATCCCAGCCCGACGCTTAGCCACTACACCCCCAGGGCTCTGGCTCCAGGGTCCCTTTTGCACGATAGAGGGGTGCTGGCTGGCCGTCTGCTCCTGCCAGACCTCGTGCCCGAGCTAGCTCCATTGCTGGAGGCCCAGGTGTCTTCTCCCCTGCTCAGAAAACGGGGTCCGTGTGGTCACGGCTCAGCTCAAGGCCACGCCCTGGGGCCTGGAGGCCAGACCTGGCCCAGAGCGTGGTGCAGATCACCTGGCTCTGCCGAGGTCAGTCTCAGGCCGGGCCCAGGGCTTTCAACTTGCCCTCAGCCGCCATGTGTCGTCTGCCTCTCCACTCGTCCTGCAGGGCCTGCCAATCCGTCCAGTTCAACAACTCTTATTGTCAGTGTTGGGCCTGACTCATAGGGACCCAGTGCAGCCTCACAGTCCTGTGTTTGGGTCCATTGTTGCAGCCCCTGGGCCAACCCTCTCCTTCACTGCCCCTTCACTTTGCCAAGCACGACATCCTTCTCCAGGGACTCCTCATTGCCCCGTCTCGCCATCTCCACTTCTTTGTTTCTTTGGGGTTTTTGGAAATCATTTTATTGGGGGCTCTTACAACTCTTAGAGCAATCCACACATCCATTGTGTCAAGCACATTTGTACATTTGTTGCCATCAGCCTTTTTGAAACATTTTCTTTCTACCTGAGCCCTTGGTACCAGCTCCTTTTTTCCTCTCCCACCCCCGGGACCCCTCGGTAAATTATAAATTAGTATTATTTCCATGTCTGACACCCTCCGCTGGCTCCCATCTTCACTTCTGTTGTTGTTGTTGTTGTTCTTTGATGCTTGATACCTGATCCCTTCAACAGCTCATGGTCACACAGGCTGGGGTGCTTCTTCCATGTAGGCTTTGTTGCTTCTGAGCTAGATTGCCGCTTGTTTATCTTCAAGCCTTTAAGACCTTTGGGGTTTTTTCAGTAATCATTCTATTTCAACTCTTATCGCCAATCCATCCATCCATCCATAGTGTCAAGCATATTTGTACATTTGTTAACATCAACATTATCAAAACATTTGCTTTGTGCTTGAGCCCTTGGTATCAGCTCCTCATTTTCCCCCTCCCTCCCCGCTTCCCCCACCCACTGTGATTGAGACAACATAGAAAACTTTGAGGAGTGTGTTAACAGAGGAAAGTGGCTTCAGGAACTGGTTACAGAACTGACTCTATCACAAGATTCTCACATGTCCTTATGGATATTCGTCTGTGTGACTCCTTTCCCAGAGCACAGAATCACTTGCTCTGGGCCTCTTCCAACTTAAAGCCAACTTATGGGAGAGAGCAGAAGTGCCTCTTTGGTTTCCTAAGGGCTATGCATCTCTCCAGGGTAGACGGCCTCAAGCCGCACAGATGGGCTGACCTGGTGGTAAACACCCCAGTGCTTGACCAAACATACCACCTCAACTGCTTGTCTCTGGAGTGTAGCAGGGATGATGGGCTCACATTGGGAGCGTTTAAAGGGTTCACCTCTGGAGAAGGATCCAGTCCACTGACTTAATTCTCAAGTGTCCTTAAGATGGAAGGAAGCATCACCAGCCAGACGCAATTGTGCCCTCATTTAGGTGAGACGGAAACCCAGGGCTTCAGCTGGAGGGAAAGCTCTCTCACGGTTGAGTCCGGGTCATTTCCTTCTATCCATGCGCCATCTGAAACCCTGACCTCCCTTCTATTTGCGTGTGTCTGGGCATCAGCCTTACCTTGTTTCTAGGAACTGTGGGTGCAGAGACACCCCCCGATCCAGGTGTCTTTTGCTGGCTGTAGTTAGCGACCTACTCTATGTTCAATCACCTCTCTCCTAAAATCCCATGAGAGAAGAAAAGTTCTTGAGCCACACCCGGAGAATCTGCCTTTGTCCGCATTTCCTCAGGGTTCTGAGGGATGAGCTGTGTGATATCCCAGACACACCTGCCTTGGGGACATCTGACCCCCAGGTCTCAGGTCCTGCTGCTCTCTGCCCCATCTTCACTTCTAAGGACCATGCTAGCTGTGCTGCTGCTTCCGGGACAGCCCGCAGGTGCTTCTTCCTCCGCCTTCCCTCGTCACCATCCAGCCACCGCGCACATGGGGTGCCACTGAACACGGAGTGGGTCCGACACCCCTTCGTCCTCAGAGCGGCCCCTGTGCCCTTTCACAAAGGACTTGCCCGATGCAATGCACCATCTGGTGCCGTGGCAGCCGCTTCCAAGGACGTTGGCTGCATATCCAAGTCAAATGCAGTCCTTCCAACTTCTAACATCTCTCTCTGTTTGTTGTGACTGCGTCTGTTAATCCGGAGGTGAACGTCTTTGCTTGCTTGACCCCGAGGTTGACCCCATGACAGATGCTGCCATCTTCTGCATCTTCATCGGTAAAAGTGTCCAGTCCCCTTTGCTTTCAGCACATGAGGCGTGTCCACTGCATCGCACGGGCTGTTAGGGAGCCTTCCTCCAGCCCTGGGGCCCCCTTCCTCGCACTGTCCAGCTTCCCAGGTGATTGGCTCAGCATACAGAAGGATGCCACCCTGATGCACACCTTCCCTGAGTGTCCACTGGGTAGTCGTCCCTTGCTCTGTTCGTGTGGCTGCCGTTTGGTCCGTGTTCCTCGGGAACACAGTGACGTGTTTTTGAAAGGTGCACCTGGCACCAGCAAGGCAAGGGTACCCCTTGTTCCACGTCCTCTTCGGGATCCAGCCTGGACCTCCGGCAGCTCGCTCCCTTTCAGTGCACTGCTGAAACTGTTCCCGGGTGACCTGCGGCGAAGTCTCACTTGCATGGGGTATCCAAGATGGCGTTCTGTAGTTTGAGCATCCTGTGGGGTCCCCTTGCTTCGGGATGGGTACAAACAAGGCTCTTCCAGTCTGTCAGCCAAGTAGCTGCCTTCGTTATTTCTCGGCACAGATGAGTGAGTCTGTGTGCTCCGTGAGCTTGTTGAAAGGCATCCGTTGGGATTCCGTGGACTCAAGCCTGGCGTGTGGCTGATGCCGCCAGTGCAGCTTGGACTTCTTCCTTCAACACCTTTGGTTCTCGATCACGTGCTGCCTCTTAAAACGACTGACGTCAGCCGGTGCGTTTTGGCACAGCAGCTGGGCATGCACTCCATCTCCTGTGGATGCTTCCTGCATCTTTTAGTGTGTCACCCAGAAACCCTCCAGCCTCACAACTCGGGGCTGGGATGTCTCCTCAGCATGGATGTGCTGAGCACTTCTGGTGCTCTAACTCGGGGCGTTGTACATTTCATGAAACGCATTCCTTGGTATTCTTCTCAAGTTGCCTTGTGAAATTTCAACACATCCACTGACACCGGGGCTAGTTGCATCTGTCAATGCCAACAGCCAGCAGTACTGGTTAAATAGAAGCCAAACAAGGAAGCCAGCTTAATGCCCTGGCCGAGAAAGGGCTAGCTGACCATGTCTGGGGCTGACACGTGGCCGTCAGCAACAGGCCCACAGGGAGCCCGGGGTTCCAAAGGAAATAGCACAGGCTGTCGTGAATGTCGGCTGGGGGCTTCACTCTCTCCTCCGTGAGAGGGCCTCTGGCCACCGGCACAAGCCCCACTCGGGGCGGGGCCTGGACCATCTGGCTCATGTTCTGAGGAAGTGGGACCAGGGGGTGGGTCCTGCCCTGTCGGGGCGGGCGAACGTGGAGCCAGGAGTGAGCTCAGCATCATGCTATCCTGCCTGACGGGGTGGGGGTCCGGGCTGCCCCTTCGCCCTGACAGAGGCCGGCCGGAAGCCCTGGGAGCGCAGCAACTCTGTGGAGAAGCCGGTATCTTCATTGCTGTCCAGGTGAGCCTCCTGGGAACCAGGTAGGCCCAGCGGGCAGGTGGGCACTACCCCGACTCACCTGTCTGCTTCATTCCCTTGCCCTAGAACCCCGTCCGTGGCCAAGAGCCCCGAAGCTAAGGGCCCCCTCCAGTCACAGCCTCACCCTAGGTACTGACAACCCTCTGCCCATGTGTCCCCCACCCACCCAGGGCGCCTTTATCCCTCACTGCACTACTAACACCCCCTTCTCCTGCCCCCGTCTTGTCATTAACAAAGTGCTAAAGAGGGGTGTGTCCTTTCCAAACACTGGGGTGCTGGAGCCCGGGAGCACTCTGCAGTCACGTGGCCTAGCTCTCGGGGCCAGGGGAGGGGTGGCCAGAGGCCTGGGAGCAGAGAGAGAGCTAGGAGGCTTTCCCAGCCTTCACATCCCGGTCACTGCCTGCCCTTTGGGTTCACTCCTCGGGGAGCCTGCCCTGCCTCCAGACATACCAGCCATGCTACCTACACCTGGAGGTGGGTGACAGCAAGATGGAGTATTTGGAACTGAAGTTGTCCCCCATATCCAAGACAGCCACATACGTCCGTCAGCCAAGTATTGCCTTGAGCCTGTCCAAGAACTGACACAGAGCAGATGACCTTTGACCCTGGCCCCAGGACTGACAGGAGGGGAGGTGCAGCTGAAGCCTGCGGGTGCAGGGACACGGGAGGGGCCCCAGCCACCGGGCCAGCACCACATAGACAGACAGACAGCTGAGGGCTGCCTCCTGGGTGATGTGAGGAGGAGACCCGGAGCCAACAGGAAGGTGGGTGGCACTGGGCTCGGGACTTGGCCCACAGAGCAGCGGGCAGTGACCGGGCTGGCAGTGGCAGGGGCGAGGATGCCGTTTGGAGAGTGGGAGGAAGTTTGGGGTCTGTATGTGAGGAGCCGCGGTGAGCTTGAGGACAGGGTCCTGGAAGGAGGCTGGCAAGGCCTTGCCGCTGCCCCTGCCCCTTCGAGCTAGGAGATGAGGCTGTCTGTCTCCTCCCCAGAGGACTCTCCCCTCAGCATATTTGTAGGGCTTGAGTGTACAAGTGGGGAAACTGAGGCCCAGGGAGGGCAAGGTGTGGGGCTGCTGCCACGACACATCCGCTGGCCTGGTCCCTCCAGACTCAGCCAGAACCAAGCAGGCCATCTCTGGTGAACTCATCCAGAGGGAAAGAAGCACGGTCATCTTAGCCGGGCTCGGTCACTCTCCCAAGTGCCCCTCACCCAGGGCCAGCCTCTCCCCTGGGGCTCAGCCATGCTTGCTGCCCTGAGCCCATGGTCCCCACCCCCTCCTGCCCATGGAGAACCGTGGGTAGGGCAGAACAGGGGCCTGCCCTCTGAAGCCAGCCTGCCATGCTCGGGAGCTGCTCAGGTCCAGGAAGTTGGGCCATGGAGCATCTTCAGGGCACTGGCCGAGCCCCTGCCAGCACGAGGGGGTGTGTAGCATGCTCATGGTGCCCAAGCGCCAAGTTCTGGGGGCCATTGGGATCCTAGCCTGGTGGAGATTGGCAGTGGAGGCCAGTAGAAGAGTGAGCATATCTGTGTCTAAGAGGAGCTTCAGAAAGCCACAATGGGGGGCAGTGAGACTGGGTGCACCAGCACCCTCCCTACCCCAGCCATCAATCCCCAGCAAGGGGCACCACCCACCGTACCGGCCTCCCCGCAGGATGAAGCCGGCCGGGAGCGTGAATGACGTGGCCCTGGATGCCTTCGACTTCGACCGGATGAAGCAGGTGGGTGGTGTCCCTCATCCACCCGGGGCCACCAAGGAGCTGGAGTGGAGCCTGCCCCTTGAGCTCCCCAGGCATCGTCCCCCTTCTCCCAGCTGGGGAGGGAAGCCGCTGAGGGCCCGGGGCTGCGTGAGGGTGAGCACCGCCCGTCACTGGCTCGGTGGCTCTGTCCTCCCTCAGGAGATCCTGGAAGAGGTGGTCAGAGAGCTGCACAGAGTGAAGGAGGAGATCATTGAGGGTGAGTGGGGACAGGGGAGGAGGAGGTCATGGAGGGGGTGGGGTAGTCACCAGGGTGGGCACAGGATGGGGTCAGAAGAGGCAGGTGGCTGGGCCACCAGAGAAGAGGCTCCAGGGAAGACGCAGGTCTGTGTCTTGTGACTGCATTCTTTCTCGCCCACCCCATGTGCTAGTTGGGGAAACTGAGGCTCGGTGGGTTACAGGGTACATGGGCGCTGGGACCCAAGCCCAGCCCCTTCCCCTCCTTCTCCAAGGACAGTTGCAAAAACCAGACCACGGCCAGCCATCCTGCCACTTCCGACTCCCCACCACCACCACCACTTTCCCCAAGGAAGTAGCCAGCCAAGCCTTTCCTCCGTGCAACAGCGGGCTCCGCCCACCAACCTTTCCGCCAGGACCCAGCCCACCCACTCCCCCACCTCCCCATGGCTGTGGCTGTGAAAGCACCACCCTTTGCCCTGGGTTAGGGGCTACAGGGCAAACGCTCCTCATGGGCAGACGCTGAGGAATTCCAGGAATTCCATCTCTAAAAAGTCCGGAGGAGTCTGGGGAGCCATGCCTGGCAGGTGCAGTGGACTGGTCCCTGGGAGCGGCTGTGGTGGCTGAATGACGTGCTTGGCTGGCAGTGTGGCCCCGGCGGGGCTGGAGGCTTCACCAAGCACCCCACAAAGAGCCCCTGAATGACCTCAGGGCAGAGCCAGCAAGGAGCCTTCTTGTCCCAGGCAGGCACACCCGTCCTTCCGGTCCCCAAGCCTTGGTGCAGGCGCTCAGATCTGGAGCCAGAGGAAGGGGAAGCACCGCACCTGGGGCCGCCAGCGTCACCCGGGCAGAGAGTCAGGGCCCCTCCAGGCTGTCCTACTTGGGGGCAGGGGGGCGGGGCGGGGACACAGCCACACCTGCCCAAGCTCCTGTCCACCCAGTTGCCTTGGAAGGCTGGGAGATAGGGAATTCATGGGTAAAACTGGGAGCCCCAGGCCGACTATGGGGAATTCTGCCCTCCTGGCTGACACCCACCCAGGGGTCTCTCTTCTGACCTCCGGGACCAGGCCTTCTGCAGTGGGTGTGGCAGGATCTGGAGGGGTGGGGGTGGGTAGGCAGGGGCAGTACTGGTACGGACAGCTGCAGTGGGGGAAAGTTGGCAGTCAGCTCAGAACCTGTGCCAGGCCTATAGCTTACCAGTAAAAGGATCACAGGGGCCTCCGACCAGGCAGGGATCCTGGCAGGGAAGACCTGGGAGGGGAAGGGGCAGCTATTAGACCACACCTTCCTTAAGGTTCCCCATCAGAACACACAGCTCACTGTCTTTGACCTCAGGTGAGATGCTGTGTGTCCCCGCCCGGCAGGGTCTGTTTGGGGGCACGGGAAGCAGGTGGGAACCGCCCCTCCCCTGCCCTGCCCTGCTCCTGAGGCCCCTCTTGTCCTGTCCTGCCCGCAGCCATCAGGCAAGAGCTGAGCGGAATCAGCACCACCTAGCCAGCCCGCCGCCACCACCAGAACAGGAGCAGCCTCTCCTGAGAGCCGTCCACAGCGAGGGCCGTGCGATTCCTGGGTTTGATGTGGTTTTCATTTTTTTAGATTCTACCTGACAGCACCCACCGGCCTCCTCATCTCTTTTGTATTTTATATTTGCTTATTTAAATGTCTGTTTGTTCTGCCCCTCCAGCGAAGCCCCCCATCAATCGCCATCAGATGGCAGCCCCTAGAGGGCGCTCCGCCCGGGTGCCGCCCTTCCCCGCGGAAGCGTCCCTGCGGGTGTCCGTGTCCACATGGGTAATAAACTGTCCACTGTCCACTTGCCGCCGCGGCTCCTGCTCCTCCACACTACGCTCGCGCCGGGGCCTGAGGGGGCCGAAGCAGCCTCGGAGGTGGGACTCCAGGCAGAAGGGGATTGGTAGGCTGCCTGCCTCCCACTATGCCCCTCCTGCCACCCCGGACCACACAGTGGCCAGCAGCAGCAGCAGGGGGTCTTGGGACCATCTCTGCTCCACGGTCACTGAACCTGTTCTCAGTCCAGGCTGCTGCCCTCAGACCCCTGAGGTGGGAGTGTCGGGGAGGTGTAGGGCCCTGGGTCAGATTGACTCCTTGACCACGCTCACCGGCAGGGCAGCACTTTGGACCCGCAGCCCCAGCCTGGCCTACCCGCTGTGTGCACAAGGAGGGACTGGGCTCAAAGTTCTCTGGAAGTTGCCGGTCCTACAGGCCCAGCAGGCTAAACCACCTCGGGACAGCGGTACCTGGCACTGGAAGGCCTCTCCCCCAGCAGCACCTGGCTTAGCAACCCCACACCCACCCCTAGGTCCACTGACCCCACCTCAGGCCAGGGCCCTTGGGCTCCCACCTGTTGCCTCACCTGCTCATCCCCGGACCTGTGGTACCTGTTCCTTGAGAAGCCTATCACCGCCGCACTCCGGTGAGGTCTGAGCTGCTGGACCCCAGCCATAAGCCTTCCATCCATCCATCCATTGAGGTCAGGGATGGCCAGACTGGGAATGAGGGGTGCCCTGCTCTCTGCTCAGGGGCTCGTATCCAAAACTCTATCCCCACCCCAAGGCAGAAGCAGAGGACACCAGCATGTGATGCAGATGCAAGGACACACGTTTGGGGACCTGAGAGCCAGGCGACCCCATAGCACAGTCCCAGGGCTGTGAGAGAAAGCACTGAATTTAATGTGGGTCTGGGACACTGAACAGAGAGGCCTGGGAGCCCGTGGGGCTGGGACCCCAAGAAAAAAGACCAACAGGTCGTGGAAATGGTGATGGTCAGCGGAGCAGGGAGGGCCAGCCTCATCCAGGACAGCAGGGCCACACACTGCCCCTGGACAAGAGACTGGAGCATCAGCCAAAGGCACTGGGACAAAATGCAGCCAGACCAGTTCTGGGGTGCTGGGCACAGGTGGGGGCTGCTGACCCATGGCTGCACCCATCACAGGCCGCTGTCTGCCAGCTTGTACTCCCGCTTCACCCTGGCATAGGGCCCCAGCGAGTCCTCAAACACGAAGTCCCAGAGGACCTTCAGCCAGGAGTGGTGCTGCGGCAGGTGGTCGTAGTACTCGGGGGCTATCTTCCGCACCTGCAGCGAAGCGGGCAACCGTCAGTGGTTCTTCTGGGGCCGCCCCCTCCGGCCTCCCACCCACTGCTCCTCAGCTCAGGTGAAGGGGACTTGGGCCTGCTGAGCCCAGGGTCACAGGGGGGCACCAACAGCTCTCCCCACCCAGCCTGCCCAAGAGGTTGGTGGGGGTCCCACAGCTGAGGCGCCACTGCCGAGCCCTTTGGGCCCCTGCAGAGCAGAGGACAGTGACTGTCGTCTGTCCCTCTGCCCACCTGTCCAGGCTTGGTGCCTGCCATGCCGAGGCCGAGCCGGAAAATCTCTACCGGCAGTTAGCTACATGTATGCATGAGGCACATTCACCAACATGCTAACACATACACACACAGTAAATGCACGTGCACGCAGGTGAATAGTCACCTGCATTATGCACATGGACACTAACGTGTACACATGTCTAACATGTTAGCACATACATGGACAAATAAGCGAATACCTGTGTACTTGTAAAATGTGTGCATGTAGGGCACACTCAGACATGCTAACATGTACGAACATTAGTGCACATGTGCATACACACTTCCATGCATGTGCAAAGTGTACACACATGGATATACTCAATACCACGCTAACACATGCAAGCAGGTGGGCACATCAAGTACCTACACACGTACATATGGGGCATGCCAACATATTAGTACATGTATGCACAAGCCATAAGCATAGGCGTCTGTACGCACACAATGGTACATGCATGGGCAAACATGAACAACTGCATGTGTGTATACACGTGAATGCAGGGGGCATGCCAACTCTTGCATGTATAGTACACATGCAAGCAGATTAACATAGGCAGCTACACTTTTGCACACAAAATGAGTACACATGGGGTATACTCACCAACATGCTAACACATCATTGTGCTCATTGGCAAGCAAGTGAACATGCTCACATGCACGTGCATCACACACTTGAGCAGGGGCAGGCATAGTCCCATACTGTGTGCCCATACTTCCGGGCACCCTCCCTGCCTCACACACCCGTCCCCATCCCCTCCACAGTGGCCATCCTGGCCTCTTTAACTGGCCGGACACTGGCAAACTGCCAAGTCTGAACACCTGGGCCCCTCCCACTTCCTCTCAGCAGAAATTCTGCAGTCTCCTCCTCAGGAGCTCGAGCCTGCCCTGTCCTCAGCCACCTCAAACAGCTCTGCAGCCAGTGTTGGCGAAAGCCACCTTCACACCTGGCCTTCTGACAAGCTGGGACTGGGCACAGACAGGGCACTCAGCTCACCTAGGACCCAGTAAACTGAGCAGGGCCCAAGCACCCTGGGCTGGAACGTGCCTCTGGGGACCGAGCCCCCGAGTGGCCGGGCATCCCCCCACCTCTGCCTCGGGGCCTAGAGTCATCACTGGGCCACTCCGCAAGCCCCCTGGGGCCCACCCAGCACCGTACCAGTGGCAGGTTGCAGCCAGGGATGCTGGGAAAGTCGTGGTGCTCCATGTGGTAGCCCACATTGAACGTGATGCAGTTGAGCGGCCCGTAGTAGGAGTAGGTCTCGTAGCCCTTGCGAAACATGTAGTGCTCGGCCACAAAGTGGCCCGAGAAGGGGTGCAGGCCCAAGCCCAGCAGTGTGCTGGCTAGCAGGTAGACCACAGGCTTGAGCCCCCAGAGGGAGAAGATGGCAACATTGGTGATGAGCTGCGCCAGGGCATTGAGCACCTCCATGCCGGTTATGGCCTTGGGGTTCATGCAGAGCGGCCGCAGGGAATAGAACAGCGGCTGAAGGGCCAGCCAGAGCAGCTTGCTGGCTGGGCGGTTGAAGAGCCAGCCCTCCAGGTGCGTGGGCACATCCATGTCGAGCCCGTCGCCGCCCAGGTAACGGTGGTGGTCTATGTGGTACTTCTTGAAGGAGGCCGAGTAGGGCAAGCCAATGGGCAGGTTGGCAAAGATGGCAAACCAACGGTTATAGGCTGGGTAGCTGGTGCCAAAGGCAGTGTTGTGGGAGATGTCGTGGATGGCCAGTGTCAATGAGTGGTTCACGCAGCCGCCGACAACATAGGCCCAGAATAAGAGCCAGCGCCAGGACAGGTTCTGCACCAGGTAGCAGGCCAGCAGCTGTGCCAGCACCAGACCGGTCACCGTCCACTTGATGTGTGGGTCCGGCCGCATCAGCGTCTTGATGGCCGGGTACTTGGCTGTGGGTGAGAGCAGAGGGGAATGGTGAGCATGTGCCAACCCCCAGCTGGATGCCGTGACCCCCCTCCTTCCAGCTTCTATTTCCTCTATCTCCTCCGCCCCCTTCCGTCCCCATCTTTCCTTCCTCCCAAGACTCCAAGCCCCAAGAAATGACAGGGACTGGAATTGCCTCCGCCTCCACCACCCCGCTCCCGGCAGCCCCACTTGTCCCAAGAAATATAGCTCCTTAGAAGTGAGGACCTGGTCAGGAGGGACTGACCAGTCCCTGGAGAAGGACATCATGCTTGGTAAGGCAGATTGGTGGCAAAAATGAGGAAGACCATCAACTAGAGGGGTCAGTGTTTCCCACAGTGGGTGGGAATGGCCCTCCCTGGGGGCCTGCAGAAGCAGAGACCCACCCATCATCCTGGATAAGGGGCAGAGCTAAAGCACACGTCTCTCCTTGCCACAGGGCCCTAAGTTGTTTTCTGTTTCTGATTTTCTGAAGAGGCTCGTAGATCAAGTGAGTCTGGGGCCTGTGAGACGGGGCATGCAGGGGGAGCAGCAATGAGCCTGGACCTGGCAGCTGTGAGCACTGCTCCTACCCCCCACCCTCGAGGCTTTACGGGCTCACCAGTGCTCAGAGCTGACAAGTGTGTGCGGTGCGGTGTGGGATGTGGTGTGTGTGAGAGAGTGAGACCAGGATGCTGGCAGAGACCAAGTGGAGCCGAATGTGGAGACCTGGGCAGGACTCTGAGGGTGGGGACCGCCGGGAGGGCTCCAGCTTTGTTACAAGCGTCCCGGTTCTACAGACGCCGTGGTCTGCAGGAGCGCGGTCAGACCGTGGTGGCTGCAGGAAACTGCGCTTTTCTGTATTTTGTTTCACAGAAGAGGAACACACCAGCAGGGAGCGGCTTCCTGGGCGGAGAGGCGGCCCTCCCTGCAGGGCAAGGCCACTGGGCACTGGGACCACAGGACACTGGCAGGGATAGGCAGCGGCCCTTTCTAGAACCCTCTGCGGCTACTTGGTGGGAAGGGACGAAAGTGGCAGCAGGTTTGGCCTGGTGGGCGGAGGTGGGGGTGGGGCCTGGTCTCAGACCCCAAGGTAAGAGCCCACAGCCCTCAAGAGAAGAAGCCAGCACCTTCATGTACAGCTGGGGACACTGAGGCCAGGACACCCTGGTTGGTCAGCACTGGTGGCCAGGGTCAACAGCTTCCCTGTCCTGCCTGCCAAGCCCCTCTCCAGTGCCACCAGGGAAGGGGTCATCCAGACGGAGGTGGGGTCAGCTCAGGTTCCTTGGCAGAGACACGGGGCAGGGGAGGGAGTAGCCAGCCAGAGGTCTCCATCAGCCAAACCCTTCACCACCTCTTGGCCCCAGGCTCCACAGGTGGGGAGACGGAGGCATGGAGCAGGCCTGCCCAGGACAAAGGTGGCTGGCCTGGCCTGCAGGTGCGTCCCTGCCTCCTCGCCAGGGATGTCCTTGGCTGGGGGAGGCCCTACCTTCTGCCAAGGGGCCAATGACATCTCTCCAGAGACGCCCCACCTGCCTCCACCCATTCTGGCCCCAAGGCTCACTTGGGGAACCTTGCTGGAAAGCAGGTGGTGTCTCGAGTGTACCACAGGGGACCCGGCTCGTTGGAGATGGTCGTGTGCAGGTGTGGGAAGAGAAGGGAGTGAACAAGGGAGATGCTGCCCCCAAGAATTGGGCGACTCCCAACGTGGACCAGTACAAGCAGGGCCTCAGGCCAGCTGGCCCCGCCGGGAAGCTGGGGCTGGGCACTGATAGCCCCTTTCTGAGCCTCAGTTTCTCCAGTGGACATGGCAAGAGATGCCATGGCTCACGGAGTATTTGTCCCCAGAAGTGATACAGCCCATGACTGGTGAGAGAGACAGGTCCCTTATCCTGCAAAGGCCCCAGTGACCCCTCCACCTCAGGCCCAGGGTGTGAATCCCAGCTGTCCCACACTACTCTGAGGTCGGGGCTGAGCGCCCACGTAGCCCCCAGCAGGCGGCAGAGCCAGGGCACCCACAGTCCAGTCTCTGTGTGCAACGGCACCTGCGGCTGGACGCAGCCACTACCACCAGGTCATACACACACACACACACACACACACACACTCAGCTTCAGACCCCAAAGTCCTGTCCCAGAACTCAGGCCAAGGACACCCCCAGGGAGGTAGGCAGGGAACTCTTGGAAAAGCAGTACAGAGCGCTGTGGGCCCACCCTGCAAAACCTCAGGGTCCCACAGTCTGAGGGGAGAGCTGGGGCCCATCTGCAGACCCTCAGGGGTCTGGAGTCTGGAAAAGAGGCATTCGGGTGCGAGCTAGGGTTCGGGGTTTCAATCCTGACTCCAGCTCGTTTCGGCACTGGACGGGACCCTGGGAGGCGTACTGAGAAGGCCTGGATCCCTGAGCTGCTGCGTGCTGTGAGAACCACTCACCCGGGCGAGGTGTTAGACCGATGACGGTGGACAGGAAGGTGGGTAATTAGGGTGATTAATTGGTATCCTCCCGGCCCTGCCCTTGTTGCCTAAACAGCCACCCTGGAGCTGGAAGGAGACCTGGGGATTCTGGGCCACTCTCGGGAGGGCAGGATGGCGGATAGGTGCCGTAAACCAAGACAGAGGGCCCTTTACAGGGTGGCAAATGGTGGTCACCATGGCAGAAGGACTCCCACAGATGCCAGGTGCCCCCACGGTGGCAGCTTGCCTGCTGCTGCAATGGTGGAAGCTAGGCCCACCGGAACTCAAATCCCAGCAGGGTGACCAGGTCTAAGGCCTGGTGCTCTTCTGAACGATCCACCCTATGGGTCCTATGGGATCAAACTGATCGCAGCAGCTCAAAATACTGCCTAGGGACCCAGAGGGGGCCGCCAGTGGATGGTCAAGGGGTGGGGGGAGGGGGGAGCAGTGAGAGAAGGGGGCGAGGGGGACTCCCAGCTCAATGAACCCCACCCATGTCGCTCGCCTGCCTGTGAAGAGGCCGATGGGTTGGTCCGGCCCCCACCACAACAATTGAACAAGACTAAAAGCATGCTTCTACAGGTCTGTGACTGTCGTCCGAGCCCAGCTGACCGAACGGGGTGACCCTTCAAAAGTGACTTAGCGGGCCCTTGCCTCAGTTTCCCCTTCTGAGAAAAACAGTGTCTGGGCAAAGTCATCTCTGTGTTCCGGCTCAAGCAAGCAGTTAGAAAAGTCACCCCTTTCCCCTGTCACAGGGGAACAGGTGGGACCGCCCCCTAGGACGGGGGGCACAGATGACAGGACTGCTGCCACAGTGGAGCCCCGAACACAGGGCGCTCAGAAATGGCCCAGGACCAGGCACCATGCTGCTCTGTGGGCATAAAAAACCAAGCCAGCAAATTCGCTGCCATCGAGGGGATTTGACTGCCGTGTACAGGACGGCGCAGAGGTGCCCCCTGAGGGTTAGGATTGAGGCTGCAAACCTTCATAGGGGCAGACAGCCTCATCCTCCCCAGAGTGGCTGGTAGGTTTGAACTGCTGACCTTGAGGGGAGCATCCTGGTGCCTAACGTGCTGAGCCACCAGGGCACTGGCTGTAGCGGGGTGGGGTGGGCGTCACTCCTGAGCCAACTCGACAACCCAAACACGCCCCAGTCTCTGATCTGGGGCATCTTTTGGGGTCAGGGGAGGACACTTGCTCACCAGCTGGCTGTCAGATGTGGTGATGCTAAGGGGTTACCCAGAGACCCGTGCATCGGCAGAGCAGAAGAGGGTGGCAAAGCAGAAGGTCCACATGAGGCCAGCGAGGAGGTCTGGGTGATGGAGGAGGGGCCCCCTTTCCCAGAATGCAGTGGTCCTGGGAAGCCGGACTTGCCCCCTGGAGCCTCCGGAGACCCACGTCAGTCCTGGGACCTCAGAATCGGTTCGGGCCACCAAGTGTGTGGTTGTCATTACAGTGGGAGAGGAAGAGCCAGGATGCCCCCACCTGGCCCCACCCAGTCCCCCCACCCCAAGGCCAGCACGGCCCCCCTCCAGGAGAGGGCACCTGGAGGCCGGTGCTGCAGCAGATGGGAAGGGCAAGTGCTGGCTGGAGCCTGCCCCAGGGGCCCGGG